CTAACGTTGAGTCCTAGATCCGCCACTAGTTTTAATTACCAAATATAAATGAGAAGGTCATTTACACAAAAATTTCTAATTACCAAATATAAATGAGAAGGTCATTTACACAAAAATTCAAGTCTATAAATACAATGGATAAAATGAGAAAAAAATTCTTATAACTATTAAGTTACTTATATTTTAAACTAAGATTAGTTAAAAGAAAATATTTATATTTTGAACTAGAGGAAGTATACTTTAAAACACTTATAATACCTTATACTTCATCAATCCTTATCATAAAACACCTTTAACTATCTCACCAAAATTAAAGAAAGGTCATTAAGTCGTTAACTTTATATGAAAATATAATAAATCTTTAATTTTATCCCGAATTAATTAATTTTTTTAAAATTTACATTATATTTTTTCTAATAGTTACTTAATTTAAATAAGAATAACATTGTAAAATAGGTTGACTCTTATGTTATCTCATGTTACTTTAAACTAATTTACATTTTCAATGAGATAGTTAATTACGTTTAAAATTATGTATTTTTTGACATTTATCCTTATTTAATAGAATGCTTCAATTATAAAACCTTATTAATTGGGCAGAGATTTGGTGATTATACTTAATACAGATATTGAATGTTTGTACCATCTAAATAATTAAAATTCAAATCAACGATTAAGATAAATTCATTCATTTATTAATCTTAAGTGGAGTATAAATTTATAACTATTAATTTAGATTTTAAATGTTCAAATTGTACAAGCATTTAATACCTGTATTAAGTACAGCTACTAAATCCAAATCTTTATTAATTACACCCTTATTTAATATCTTTTTTTCAACAAAAAAACTCTACTAATTACAGCTTTAAAGTCTTAAAACGTTTTATATTTTTTGACATGATACTTAAAAAAATAGCCTTATAATACATAATAGAAGAAGTATTTGAGGGAAATTTATTCTCATGTCCCACACAAGCAATCTAAATCTAAATACGAAAAAAAAATTCATGAAAAAAATTAAAATCATACAAAATCATAAAATTACTCTAAATTCTCATATTCTTTAATGAAGTTGTCAATTTTGTGATTTGAGATTTTTTATACTTAGATTGCTTTACATATGAGAGTAATTTTTCCTATATTTAGACTTTTTATTGTTTAAAAGTTTAATAATAATAAATACTTCTTTCAGTTCTTTGACATTTTGAAATGATAATCATTTTGAAACAAAACTAAAACTTCAATGGAAGAAGTACATGCCCATATATCTTCCAATGGTAAATTGAAGATAACATTAGAAAAAATTGAAAAATCAGATAACTAATGTTACCTTCTTTTAAAGAAAATAACTTAACGAGAACAAAAAAGCAAAATCAAATAGGAGAACCAGCGTATATTTCAGCCCTACCCATAACAAGTAAATAAACTGCAGAAACTGATTCTTTGACTTGCATGTATTGACTCTGAAGAGGCATCGCCTTTATGGCTCTGAAGCATCTCAACAACTCAGCTCATGTTGGGCCTTGCATGTCAGTCTTCTTCAACACATTGCAAAGCCACTTTCACCAAAGTCTCTGTGCATGTTTGGATTATAACATAACCTCAGTTAGAATGAGTCAAACCTCAATTAGAGAGAAAAAAGTGAAAAAATAATGTTTGGATTAACAAAATATCTCAACCACAGTTAGAGCAAAACGAGCGTTTATTCAAAAGCTGATAGTTGAGGCTTTTTTCCTGGCGTTGCGTTGATCTAACCGTTGGAAGCATTGATTATCTTTTCAATTTGTGCATGTTTTCTCTCTCCTCTCATTTATCCAACCCACGAGCCAAGTTCCAGCTTTTCATTCCAGCTTTCTCTTCTCCCGTGACCTCGCAAACTGAAGAACCAGATCAGAGCTCCACCTTCATTGCTCGTCCGGCGTCCAAGCTCATCTCTACTGTGTTGAAGCAAGTGACCTCCAGCCGATCTCCAGCTTGCTGTCATCTCTTCTTGTGTCCATTGTGTCCCTGCCCGAAAGTGGTCGTTCTCCCTGTTGCCCATCGATCTCCGGCGTTGACCAACAGAGCTACTCCTAGTCACCGGATCTACTGCCCATAAGCTTTTCTTTTGTCTTCTTTCATTGCCTTCCTTGTTGCCTTTTTCATTCATGGTCTCTGCTGTAGATCCCGAATCCCTGTTCCAGATCCTGAATCCCTGTTGTAGTCTCTTTTCACATCTCTGGTCCATGTTCGTCTTTGTTGCCTTTTTCGTTGCCTGCATTCTCTGGTCTAGTCTGTTATGTTCTTTGTGTGGCATTTTCTGGTCTTTCACTGATTTGTGGTCTGCTGTATTTTTCGATATTGCATTCTCTGGTCTGTTGCATTTTCTGGTCTCTTGCATCATGCATGGAAGTTTCTTCTTTTTTTTTTTAAATTACACCTTGGTGGAAGTTTCTGATCATCCTTGGCAGAAGGAGAAACTTATGGTTTCTGTTTATATTTTTTGGCCAGTTCAATTTTTTTCCTGTTCTGTGTTTTTGATTATCCTCAGGTTTGACAGAACAAAAGTAAGTAAGGGCTATTTTTTCCTGTTCTATTTTTTTTCCTGTTCTATGTTTTTTCGGCCAGGGATTTGGAATGGAATGAAATGTGAACAAAATAAAAGTAAAAAAAAAGTTTTATTAGCTTACCTCATAAATAAAATTATATTTGTCATCTTTTATAGGTTTAAGGACTGATCAAAAAATTCTTGGACTGAAACAAGGGCTGATCAATAAACTAGAATAATTTTATATACTTGCATGGAACGTGAAATAAATTATGTTGGTCAACCTTTGTGTTGCAAAAACATCTGTCCCTTAAAATATACAAACATATAATACACACGCCTAATGCTTGGTGATTCTTCTTGTTTTTGTATGAAATATTTTGGAGAAAAAAATATGTTAAATTGATACATATATGTAGAGATATATATTGATTTTGCATGTTTGTGATGGCTGGCTAGTCTATACAACAATGAACAAAGACAAAGGAAAAGCTGTGTAGAATTCAACTTTAACAGAAATTTTCATTAAAGAATGCTTGGAACAAGTGTACAAGAAACAAAGAAAAGGAACTGCTTTCAACAAAAATGGATGGCAGGCAATAATTGAGGGATTTGAGGCAAAAATAGGAAAAAAATATGAGCGAAAGCAATTGAAAAATAAGCTAGATAACATGAGGAAAGAATGGAACGTATGGCATAAGTTGTTTTCAAGTGAAACCGGCTTAGGATGGGACAGTGACAAGAATACTGTTGATGCTCCAGATGAGTGGTGGGAGCGAAAAATCTTGGTATAGATTAGTTGTTAAGTGTTTTTAAAATTAGAATTTAATTTGAGAATTTTAATTTTTGGTTATTTGAATGGTTGCAGGAAAATCCTCTTTATGAAAAATTTAGATATAAAGGTTTGAGATTTGCAAGGGAATTAACCTTGATATTCAAGGATGTTCTAGCAACTGGGGAGACACTTTTTGTACCGTCTGCTACCCAGACCCAAATAGAGGATGATGATGATGAGGATGTGTACCGCCCTACTATTGACCTTCGAGAAGGCTCCGGTGATAGTGAAGAGGAGCTAAATTTATCTGACACTGTAGCACCTACGGGGGTCACCGATGAGTTGTTGGGCTTGAATGTCACCATAAATACTGGTGGAACTAGTGGTGATGGAAGTCAAGGTAAGAGAAAGAGGGTGGTAGGCGTTGGTGGGAGGAAAAAGAAAAAAGTCCCTGCCTTAATGAAAATAGCATATGCGATGAGTGAAATGGACAAGGATAATAGAGCTAGAACAGAGACAGTGAACAAGATTTTGGTAAATGACATAGGAGTTTCTGAGGTTATGGCTCACTTAAATGGACTTCCAGAAGTTTTTGGTGATAAAGATTTGCATTGGAGATGTGTCAATCTTGTTTTATACAAGCTTATGCGAGATGCTTACTAGCAACTTAAAGACCATCCTGATCACTTGGTCAATTGGTTGAAGCATCAAGTCTACCATCTACCGAATTTTATTTCAAAGAATACATCAGGATGAATTTTTATTTAGGCTTATGATGACTTGACTGGTGTTTATTTTGACTTAAAGACTACTTGTAGTTGCTTTTGGCTTACTTGTACCTCGCTATGCTTATGATGACTTGACTGGTGTTTATTTTGACTTAAAGACTACTTGTAGTTTCTTTTGGCTGGTTTGTAGTGAATATTTAACTCTTATCTAATGCTTACCTTATGCTTTATTTTTTATGTTATTAAATGATATTTATATACTATGTATTTTATATTATATACAAATGATATTCATATACTATTTTACCTCAAGTTGAAAATCATGGAAGATTCAAATGAATATATGTTAGGTTGGAATGAAGGTTGGGATGTAGATGTAGCTCATCAACTACTTCCCTTGTTACAACAAGATATATCTGAGTAAGAAGAAATATGTCAATTAGTTGGTGAATATGTGATGCTATATATGTGTAAAGAGCCACGAAGAACTAGCAAGCAAATAGGGCAAATATGGGTCAATGAGATTTTGCAAGGTCATCCTGATCGTTGTTATGAAATGTTTCGAATGGAAAAACATTTGTTTAGGCAACTGTGTGCGACACTAGTTGAGCTTGGTCTAAAGAAATCTAAAAAAATGGGAGTTGAAGAAATGGTTGGAATGTTTTTGAATACAATTGGACATGGAGTTGGTAATAGGATGATACAGGAACGATTTCAACATTCAGGGAAAACTGTCCATAGAAATTTTTATAAAGTATTAGCTGCCTGCCTTAACCTTTCCAAGGCAAACATAAAATCACTTGATCCTTTGTTTCAACGATGTCATTCAAAAATTTAAAATGATCCACGGTATTGGCCATTCTTTAAGGATGCTATAGGAGCAATTGATGGCACTCATGTGCCATGTGTGGTTAGTGTTGCTGATCAAATTAAATTTATTGGAAGAAAGGGATATGCAACACAAAATATCATGGCTGTATGTGATTGGGACATGTGTTTTACTTTTGTCATTGCGGGATGGGAAGGTACAGCTCATGACGCCCGAGTATTTGATAATGCCATATCAACTCCTTCAATGCATTTTCCGCATCCACCTCCAGGTATATTTTATTAAAGTAACTATAATAATTATTGCATTAATTTAATGTTGGTCAAATTTACAATACTTCCTTTTATTTAATAGGTAAATATTATTTGGTTGATTCTGGTTATCCAACACTAAATGGGTATCTTGGTCCATATCGTTGCGAATGTTATCACCTTCCAGACTTCAGGCAAGTTGTAGGATTTGTAAATAATAATGAGGTCTTCAATTATTATCATTCAAGTTTGAGATACACTATAGAAAGAACTTTTGGAGTATGGAAGAATAGGTTTGCAATTATACGAAAAATGCCCAAATTTAAATATAAAACACAAGTTTAAATTTTTTGTGCAACAATGGCAATACATAACTTTATTAGGAGAAATTCAATTACTGATGAGCAATTTATTCAAGCTGAAGATGAAAGTGTAGATGTCCTTGAGGAAGATATCGATATTGGTGAGGCATCCTCGTCAAATCTACCCGGATCATCAAGACAGATGCAGTATGTTCGTGATATAATTAGAGACCAGCTTGTAAATCATATCAATTGAACATTAATTTATTTTATGTTTTTGTAATTGAATATTTAAGATATTTTACTTATCAGTTGTGATTTTAAATTTAATATTTTTACTTATTAGTTAGTCTAAAAATATAATCATGCTTATTTAAGATTTAATATTTAAGAAAAAAATTCATGCTTATTTTTGTCATTAAACATTTCAACTGGCTTTTGAATCAAATTATCCAAATAAATTTCAGTTTATCTAACTAACTTTTAAAAATAAGGTATCCAAACATAAATCACGTTACATTAACTGACTTTTTTTTTAACCTAAGTTTGCTAACCTCAGTTGAATCTTAACTTCAGTTGTAAAATTTTTAATCCAAACACACCCTCTATCTTACGCTTCTGACCATCCTCCAACTCCAATCCAATGACTAGATCTATTATCTGCTCTACCCAAAACTAGAGTCAGAAATAAGGGTCAGGCTTGGAGGGTCGAGCTTGAAAGTACTGTTTAAATAAGGGTTCAGGCTTTGAAAATAATTTTTTTAAAGTAATCGAGCTTGAGGGCTTGGCTCTGACATGCCCTGTAAAATAGGGTTCAGGCTCGGGCGGCCCTTTAAGCCCTGTTATATTATTATTATTATTATTTTAGTGAAACAAGTGTTTGAAGTCAATGACCTGCTCACCTGATCCTACACACATTATATTATTATTAATTTTAATTTATTTTCAAATTAATTTAATATAATTTAATAAATATCAATGCATAGTATAAAATTTATGATATTTTTTATTTTTCTATAATTATTATGTTTTTGTGTTTATAAAAAAAATGAACTGTTTTTTAACCAAGATTTAAATTTTATGACTAAAATTTTAAATATGTGTCATTTAATTTCTAAAAAATTATGAGGATTTTAATTTTTTTAATTTTAAAATATTTTAATTAATTTATAATGTTTAATTTTATTTTTATTTTATTTTATTTTTTGAAAAAGGGCTTGAGGGCTCGGCCCTGAGCCCTGAGTATAAGGGCTGAGCTTGAGAAATGAGGTTCAAAATGGAGAATCGGGCTTTAGGGCTCAAGCCCTTAAGGGTCGAGCCCAGGCCAGGTCCTTAAGAACCGGGCTCACCCGTATTTCCAACTCTACCCAAAATTACAATGACGACTCTTCCTCCGACGTCATTCTCTTTCTCTTTCCCTCACCCATGTCACAAGCCTCTTATTTTGTGCCTCTTCTCCTGCCTCACTCTGAATTCCCATAGGTTTCGGCCTCCTTCCTGTAATCATCTCTAACACAACAATCCCATAGCTATACGCAACCATCTTTGATGTTATTGGCAAATTGAACACCCATGCAATAAGGTGCATATATCCTCTCGTTTCTCTAATCATTGAGAAGCTTTGAGTGTTCTGGTCATTTCGATTTTGAAGTTTCGATAAGCCAAAATCTGCCACCTTTGGCTGGTAATTTGAAACCAGGAGAATATTATGGGTTTTATGTCGCAATGCAAAATCCATTCCAAGCTTTCTTCGTGTAAGTAAGCTAGTACCCTTGCTGTTCCTAGTGCGATGTTATATCTTTTGGTCCAATCCAGAGTGTTCGATTTGAGGTTTGCAGCTAAAGAACCATTATCCATGTACTCGCACACCAATAGCCTGTGCTTTCCCTTGGCACAATACCCCCACATTTTGATCAAGTTCATGTGTTAAGCCTACTGATTGTGCTCACTTCAACTAGGAATTCTCCTCCTTGTTTGGCACCAATATTGTCATTCTTCAGCTTCTTTTTTGCTGCGATCCCTTGACCAGGTAATTCTCCCCTGTCTACTATTCCACCTGCTCCGCTTCCAATTTCTTCTGTGAACCGTTTCGTTGCTTGTTTTAGCTCAGAGTAAGAAAATTTTCTGAACCCAAAAGGAGAAGGAAAACTGTAGCCTCGTTGATTTCCACTTCTAACCAAAGAACACCAAATTATAGAAATAAGGAGGACTTCAAACACCCCATTTGCGACTGAAAACCAAAGGAAGAGCTTCATAAATCTGTTGATGTGTCTCTTGGCATAGGCTCTTTCAAGCTTCACCAGGCAAATATGGCTATTTTGGGCAAATTCCTCTTCTTCATGGAACGAATCACTGTTGCTTTGGGTTTTAGGTAGTCTCAAGTAGGTTATTCCTCTGAAGTATGGTGAATGACGACCGTTGAGCAAAGTCTTCTTGTATAGCACTGGGAAAAGCCGTCCGGGTGAAATGAGCACTGAAACGCCTTGCACTTGCAGTCTTGTAAGCATTTGTCTTCACAGTCACTATAATGAATATTTTCCATATAAATATAGTCAGATCCATATAGCTTAACATCAGGCAATCTAAGGAAGGTAGATTCCCTTGGAGCACAAAAAAGTTGAAATTTGGGCTCACACCCATAAGACCAATCGCTATGGTTCTTTACTCTATAACCTGGAAGACACGAACACTTCCTTCCTTCTCTTGGATCATACTTGCACGTGCTGTTATCTCCACAAATTCCATTAACCCTGCAAGAATCGGACATGGCTTGCCACGACACATTCCATCGATTATTTTGCAGTAAACTGCACCCTCGAAAGTTGCCGTGGGGATCTAGTTTCAATCTTCTTTGTTTCACTACTCGATAATCGGAGGTTGAAATGAATTTATAATTATCTGTTGAAATGAATTTTCCAAGAGAATATAACATAGCTGTTCTGCTATTTTTGTAGGTGTTCCTTCCAACTTCCCAGCTCATAAGCCATTGTGCTGGCTAGTATTTGCTGGAGATATCCGATCCATTATACAAAAGGCTAAGAATGTTGTTATCATCGAAGCAAAGCTTGTAGAAGCCAGAGGAGTGGTTGATATCGCTTTTAGAAGAGACAAGCTTTGTATATCTTGTGAGCTGTTGTCCAGGAAGTAGAGTGTTTGTCGGGAAATCGAAGCTCTGCCACAGAATAGTTCTGCTTCCAGTTAATTTGGAGCTCGGAGAGTACTAGATTTCCATTGTTGTTGAGAATCAACTGTGTAGGAAAAGATGAGGTTGTGTGAGTTGATCACGCGATAAACTGGCCAGCATCAGAAAGCACAAGGTTACCATTTCTGTGGAGGGAAAGTGATGACCGTTTTCCGTTGACAGGTTGGTCACGGTTTGCTGACCAAACAATGGTCGGGTTTTGGGTGAACCAGATGGCGAAGAGTAGGCATTAATTGTCACCAACCGCGTAGAAGCCTGCAGAGAAGACACCATTTGGTGAGAGAACAACGTCTTCTAGCTTCTCAACTGAGAGAGAGAAGCCATTGTTAAGTGAAGGCGGCGGCGGCGGTTTTGAAGAAGAAGAAGAAGAAGATGGGAATGGCATAGATAAGAGGAGAAGAAAGTGTAGGATTGATGAAACAGCCTTATCAATTATCTATGGCTGGAAGCGCTACTGGAAGAGTGATGAAACATGGATTAAAATGGCAAGAAATGTGCAGCATTATAAAGGACAAAAATCCGAGAATTAGGAACTGTTAATAGTACTGCACTGTTCAGTCTTCAAATGTTACTGCGCGTTGTTTTCCTCTTCCGGAAATTTAAAGTCAACGCATATACTTTGACCATCGCCGCCTCTCGCCTTCTTTGACTCGTACAAGTATTTCCATTTTGTTAGCTCAAGTGTATTTTTGTTCTCTAATTTAATAATTTATACTCTTCTATTAAAAAATATAAGATATTTTTAATTAAATTTTATCCCTCAATGAAGTAGTTATCTACTTTCAAACAAACCTTATTTTTTTATATTTATTCTTATTAAATATCTTACAATAAATATAAAGTCATTCATCAATAAGGGTACTTTTAGAAAAAAAAAAAGCAATAATTACACCTCAAAAAATTAAAAATATCTTACATTTTTTAACATCTAACAATTCAAAAAATGCCTTATATTTTTTAACGGAGGAAATATAAAATTTAATTTAATCATTTAATTTTATAAAATATATTTTTAACCCTAACACTATTAGTTTTAATAAATATTTTTTGTGCTAATTATTATTATTTTAAAAAAAATTAAATTTAATATATAAATATTTAAGAATATTTTGTCAATATTTAAAAATTCAATGTAAAAATTTTTGTAATAAAATTAATGATATTATGATTAAAGAACTGAAAATAAATTTTATAAGATTAAAAAAATTAAAATGAAACGTTATGCAAAGTTCTTTATTCTTTATAAGTAAGTTTTTAAATTTTTTAAATTTCATCAGATATTGTTCATTACCCTATCTTACTTGTTCATTGCCAAACTTTTACTTGATTTCATTCTAGAAAAATAAATAAGTGATAAGGTAATTACCAATATTCGGTAGATAAATGAACAAGTGAAGTAGGGTAGTTAATAAGTGTAATAGAACGGTCCCGATATTAATTTAAATGAAGAGCAATTTTATCATTTTTCTTATAAATTTAATATTAAATCAGTATCCTTAGACTGCAGTAAAATTTTAAAAATTTAAGAGTTTTGAATATAGTTAAATATGATCAAGGGATTTTTATTGAAATTGTTTCAAGAGGAGAAACCTCCAAACAAAAAAAAGAAGGAAAATAAACAGGCAAGGATTAGCCTAGATCCAAGAACATTAAGATCTGGCAAGAATCTGGATGTTCTGTGATGAACCCAAATGACAAGGTAAGCCCAGAAGAGCCCAATGTGAACATCCAACCCAATGCAAATCTAATTGAGGAATGGCCTGTTCGAAGAAGCCAGCGAGCATGGAAGATGACGTGGAAACTCCGTGAATTGGCTGGAGAGGAGGAGCTATAATAAGACAAAATCGCTTATGATTTGGAGGTGTGCAATGATTGAATCGTCTTCTCCCTGAGACCTTGTGTCTGTCCTTCTACTTCTTCCTGCATTTCTGTGACTTTTCTGTGATTTCCTTTCCTTCTATATCATCATTCACTGTTTATGCTTATGTAATGCTTGAGACGTTAGTTTGAGCTGATATAAGCAATTTTGCAGAAAGAGTTTTTCTTCAAATTCC